GTGATTCTCACCAGTCTTGTACTTGGATCTCACTTCTAATTCATTCTATAAATGGACAGTTTCCTCCCCACCTAAGTATCTCAGAAGGACACACACCAAACTGATGACAGTACTTATATGTGGTGAGGGGAGAAGGGGCTAGAACTGAGGGTGAACCTCACAGGGGACTTTAGCCTTGTCCACGGACGGCCTAATTGTAAGACAGATAAACAAAAATAGTCATTATTATATTAAATTTTAAAAAATTCAGAACTCTGCATCTTTCCTCTCTGTTCTAGGCCACCCACTTCCTCTGCCCTGATGTTACTGTGACTTCTGTTTTTCCTTAACTCAGCTTTTCCATTTTTTTTTAGTGTTACTATACACAGGTGTGTTTTTTAAATCCTACGCCCTCATTTACTCCCACTTTGAGGCAACACTTTAGTGTATTTCCTTTTGGGTTAAGAGAATGTATAAATAAATGTGTTTATTTATAGATAATTTAGACCATACTCTTGTAATTAAACACAATGAACTTGTTTTTAACTTCCAAGCCTGCCTCAGACTATAAAAGTGCTTCCATACATTTATTTAGTACTTCACAGTCCACAAGGCACATTAATTTTCTGTCCCAATTCTCTCCCCTCCTCGCACTGCACTTTTCTTGCTTCTTTCCCCTCCTTTTCTTTTCATATAGCTAAGGACTCCTTCCTGGTGAGCCTCTACCAGGACAGCCGAGTGGAAGGATTATCCTGATCACACTCAGCCACCCGATCTCCTCTTTCCCCATTATACAGAACCCTAGGGCAATATGGATATTTGCAGGGGGAAAAATAGTAAATGGAAAATAAGCCTTCATTATAAGGTGTCATTATCTGTAAGACAGGCTTATTTATGGCAAGGCCAAGCATCTGATATGGTATTTTTACAATCATTTTACATCTGAAAAATGAATGATTGGATTTAGGAGTAGGTCAAATACATTATCTGCAAAGAAGCTGTTTATGGAGTGACAATAAACTGTGTGTAGATTTCTGACATGAGAAGGACAAGAGAGAGCATTTACAACAGCTTTCTAATTTGTCTTTTTTTTTGCCTCTTTTCTCCTCAAATCCATCTGTCATAATGTCACTGTCAGGATATTTATAAAATACAGATTTGATTTAAAAACATGATGGTTCTGATTAAGAACCTTTGATAAATTACTATTATCTATCAAAGCAATTTGGAATTGTTTAGACTGATGTACAAACTCTTTGAAAATACGGTCCGTCTGACCTTTCCAAATCCATCTGTATCCTCTCTACCAAGGAGTCTATGTTCCAGTCTTGCAAAGTGACAAAGTAACAAATAGTCCCTGAACTTGCCAGATGCTACCACTCCTCTGTGACTTTTTCTGTGCCTGCTGACAAAGAATACCTTGTGGCCGCCTCTTCACTTGTTAAACCCCTATTCATCCTTCAGTGCCCAGCTGAAATGCTCCTCTCTCTGTACCCTTGAGCCTTTGGCTCAGATAAATATAAAACGGACCATAATAAACTCTGATTAACTGAGTACAGGTCTTTCTGTTATGGCCCACAAAATCCTTGAAGGGCAAAACCATATTGTATTTATTCATATAGTCTCAGTGTTTAAGATGGAGTCTATTAGACAACCAATGTTCATTTTATCAATGAATGAATCATTCATTCATTGAATGGCCATTCTGTAATGCTGCAAAAGAGAACTGCACTTACCACTATTATGAAAGCCCCTGAAAGGCTGCTGCTCTCTCTCTGTCACAGAAGGGGCTCTGAGAGATCACTAATGCAATCGCTTCCTGATCTTCCCATTCCAGGGCTGTTTGATCCTCAGGAATTGCTCCAGCCTGCCTACCTCCTTGTAATACTTAGTGTTTGGCATTAGATAACAATTACTAAATTACTCATCAGCTTTCTTGGGGGAAATCCTTAATTTGCTTTATTATTTTTTTTCTCAGTTCTCTTTCAATGCTCCTATCAATTGGTCGGCAATTAGTGATCATAAATGGGCAACCCCATCTGGCACATGGTTACAAATTCAGCCCCCCTCCCCCCCACCCCAGTCCTGGAGATCTGGAGGCACGAGAGAAATCCAAGAGGAGAGCTAATAAAGATGCATGAGGTAGAGAAAGGGGAAGCGCGCATGGCGCCATTAGAAGAGAAGGGTCATGGCAGGCTGTCAGCTGACGGTGCTGAGGAAAATAAAACATACAAAAATGAAACAAGAAGATGCCCATAGGGAACTTGGTGTAGTGCAATAATTTTCACTTGTTTTCTCTCGGAATGGGAATCTTACTCCTGAGCTCGTGGTAGAGACAGCCAGTTGTCTAATGCAATACTCACCTTGAGTAACAGAGCCCTGAACTCAGCGGGGGTAGCAACATGCCAGCTCCTGAGGCAGTGTGAAGGCTGTAACTAAGTACTGGCCAAAAGGATCTAAGTGGAAGTCGGGGGCTTCAGTAAGTCTACTTAACAGTGTAAAGGTACACCCTTTTTTAGTATTTTCTCCTTCCTGTTGTGTAGAATGCAGATGCAATGACTGATTTCCAGCAGCCATTCTGGACCACGAGGCAGCATACTGAGAAATGGTAGAGCAAGACAGAAAAAGCCTAGATCCTTGGCACTAAGAGCCATCACACCTGCCGAGCCATAGCTATAGCACCCACCAGGGTTGCCTATCTTTAGGTTTCTAACATGAGAGAAATCAACTACTATCTTGCTGAAGCCACAGTTATTTTGATTTTTAAAAATTCACTCCTAATTGATAAACTACTGTTGTCCACAAAGAGCTTAAGATCCAGAACAAGAATATTTGACACAGGGTAAAATGCTAAAAGAAATATAAGTACACTTAGTTCTGTGTAATTAATGAATTCATGAACAATTGAGCAGCAATTTAGATTTACCAGGAAAACTAACTAGTTAACGGCAAAATTATAAAATGTTTATGTGAACATGGAAACCTGAGGAAATGGGAGAAATCATGCATGAAGCTACTAATATTGACTACAGATATTTAGATTTTTACTTCTTACAATAACCAAGTAATAACTTTTGACATTTAAAAAATTAAAATAGAAAACATTTTAAACTAAAAGCAATAACTGAAAAATATTTCTATAAAGGAAAACTATATTGATTTATCTATATTGCTTTTTTAAAGAGGAAATTCTACAATTCTGTTTATAGGCTCTTGGATACCTGGATTCCCATCTCTGATCCATTAACTACTAGAATCTTGGGAAAATCATACTCATCGGACCCTAATAAAGTGAGAATGTTAGTAAATAAACTTTAAAGTTTCTTCCAGCATTTACATCCTATGAATTTAATTGTACATTTGTTTCGGGGGATGTCATACTGCACTTTTCCAGTCTGATTGCTATGAATTCAGTAGTTAAAATGAGTTAGTTATGTAGCTTTTATGTGTCTATTTCTTTTTTTTAAAGGTATTTTATTGATTTTTTAAAATATTCTTAAAATTGATTTTTAGAGAGAGAGGAAGGGAGAGGAGAGAGAAACACTGATGAGAGAGAAACACAGATCAGCTGCCTCCTGATCGCCCCCTACTGGGGCTGAATCTGCAACCCAGGCATGTGCCCTGAGAGGGAATTGAACCGGTAACCTTTCAGTGCACTGGATGACACGAACCATAGGAGCCATACTGGCCAGGGAATAATGTGTCTATTTCTGATGCCATGGAACAGTAAGACAGGTAACTCCAAATACCACCCTTCTCCTACAGTTCCATAATGGCTTTTCCATGCACATAACATGGTATATCTTAACGTGCTATACTTTTTTGGATTACATGTTGTCCCCACATAGATTGTGAGCAGGCGGGGCTGGGAGCTAGAAATGTGTCTCCCTAATGCAAGCCCTGGCTTGGGTTTACAACAGGTGGTTTTGTTGAAGAGATGAGCGAGTGAAGGAAGACTTGTGTAAAAAGGTGACGATCTTTAGCTGGTTTGGCTCAGTGGTTAGAGAGTCGGCCTACTGACTGAAGGGTCCAGCGTTCGATTTTGGTCAAGGGCACATACCTTGGTTGCAGGTTCGATTCTCTTTCTCTCTCCCCCTCCCACTCTCTCTGAAAAGCAATGGAAAAAAATATCCTCAGGTGAGGATTAAAAAAAAAAAAAAAGATGATTCTAAAAGAAACTGATGGCTAATCTTGTGACTGATCATTTGTAATCTTGTCTCTTTTCTAGATTAGGATTTTAATTGACTTGTGACATATTCATGAGTCACAATATATTTAGAAATTTTTGATAACTTTTGCAAGCTTTGGGTTGTGGCCAGATGAATTTAGCCATCAAGAAAAAAAGAATGAATCTCATCCTGGCATGGATTAACAGCTATTGTTTTGTCTCTCTATTGTCTCTCTATTGTTTTGGACTGTACGTGGGGTGACTTCAGGCCATCCTGGGAGATTGGGCAAGAGGATGTGAGGACGGTTGCACTGTCCATCTCCAGAAACTGGGGAACTCTGGCGAGGAAACCCCACCTGAGGCCCTTCTGTAAATGAGGCTAGGCCAGTGCCATCAGTGTGAACTAGGGACTACCCCATTCTCTCTGTTGTTCTATATATCACCTGAATTAATGACACACACTTCCTCACACACCTTCCCAAGTAAAAGCAGAAAAGGAAAGTGACAAAGCTCATGGCTTTAGTTTCAAACACAAGGCTGTTTCCCTGTCTTCTTCCCTAGTGATGATCTTTCTACTCCTGAGTGGGCCCAAAAGGCAGATGCAGAGCACCCAGTCCTTCCTCCCTGCGCCCCTGCCACCCCTTCTGTTCTAGAAGGGGTGCCTTACAACTGGCATTATAGAACCTCTCATGAAGAAAAAGTGGTGTATCGTCAATATATGCCTTCCTGCGGGTACTTGCATCAAATTGTAAACATTTTAAATAGAGATATTAGGAGTTAAAATATCAGAAAATTGAATAAAAATAGGTTTCAAATGACAATAAAGGTGAAATATCAGTACTAAAGAGCGTACCACAATACCCTGGCGTTCCACACACCGTCTTCATGAGCACTTGATGTTCCACAATTTTGGAGAGTCCAAAATCAGCTAACAACACAAGGAAAAAAAATTAATAAAGCTAGTTTTTTCTCAGCTTTTATAAGATGACACAATACTTCTGTTATTCAAAATAAAACTAGCTCATCTGTTTGCCTGTTTTTTTGTATTTGATGATGGGTAGATGTAGGTGGGGACCTGTCACCAGGGAGAGAAAACTAAAAAAAGGAATAATAATAATTTAAGTCTTGCTTTAAACTGGAGAGAAATATGAGTCCTAAATACATTTTATACTTTAATCTGTAATTCCCAGCTTTTAGCAAATAGGCTATTTTTTCTTGAATAGTTGCAATAGGTATATTTTGTTAAATATTAATTCTGAGATTTATGAAACGAACTCTAAAGGACAATGCAGAATTAGTGATATAATTCAGAACTGTTAACCCACTGGAAGAAATCTAAATAAAAAATTAGACTTTCATAAGTGTCAAAGAAATTAACAGAAACATCAAAATGTTTATTCTACTTCAAAATAATGTCACTCCCTAGTGTGCTTGAATGGATAAGAATTTACTCTTGTATGAGGAATGTGACTCTTTTTTCCCCCTGCAAAAATCTTTTTTATTTATTCCTCAGAATATTACCTAGATAAAACATCATCAAAAGTTGCTATCATTATGGTCTGCTTGGTGGGCTACATCGGTCTCACTCAGGAAACACCAGGAACCCTTTTAAGGCCATTCTCAAGAGAGGCAGGTGCAGGATTGATGCCATTTTAGACTTCAAAGGTAAACCCACTTTTCCACGGAGGCGCCGATCCTTATCAGAGAAAGCAGCAGGAAGTCCTTCAGAAAGAGAGGCGCTCCGGCCTAAATTAGTATCTATCCATCCATTTAAAGAAATTTCTTTAAGGACAGAGTCTGTGAAAGCGACGTGAAAGGAACCGGGACCCCCCTGCGGCCGGCGGCCTTTCAGGAGTGATTATGCCAGCACGTGGCTGCCCGCGGGCTGCAGCATCTTCCCTTCAGTTCTCGCATTCGCGAGGCACCTGATGTCCTTTGGGCTCCTCGGTGGGAAGTATGACTTAGTTTCAAAGGTGTTAACACTTACCAATGCAGGGAACTCGTCAGATTAGCATGATAAAGGAGAGCACCTAGGGAGCCAAGTCCTTCAGAGGTTTCAATTTTAAAAAAGTTAAATCCTGTACAGGCCAGACAAAACAGATTCTGCAAAGAGAATCCATCTAAAATAAATTTTACTTTTTTTTTTTTTTCAAATGAAGATTTGTTTTGGAAGGCACATGGAAAGTGATTTTTATATACCTTTTTCTAAAATGCTGACTGAGAAACCTCTTTGGGTAGATCAGAATTTCCCAAAGTTCATCTTTGTAGTTCTTCAAAAATGCTTATTGGGGGAAAACAAGGTTTCCAGAGTCAAAGGAGGTTTGGGGAAAGCCTCACAGGCCACTATATGAGATGTCAGTGTACACGTTAGTATTTTTAAGGTCTGGGGGAAGTTATGTAGAAATAAAAATCTTGTTTAAGTTGGCATTTTCTAACATATTCTAACTTATCACCTCCACAAATCACTTCCACCTTCCCCCAAAGGGACTGATTCATCCTTGGTCACTCAGCTGTGGAACCAGCTTCCTGTGGGGTGCACTTTGGGAAACACGTCTCAGTTTCTCTCTGTTCATAGAAACAAGTGACCTAGAGCCTAAATTCACTGGTAGGTACCAAACATTTTGTGTCAAAGTTCTTGATTATCTAAAATTAAGCTCCTTCTAATTTGTGGAATAAAAGTTAATAACCAGGAAAGAAGTGTTATGCTATCTGTGATTTTCTTCTACATAAATATATCTACAAAATACAGTCACCTCCAGAAGTTCCTGTTATTCCCAAGAGTTGTGATTCCTTTGTGTGTCTGGTAACGCAGCACTAACTTCAGGAACTAATTCCAGATTAATATTCCAGGATAGTGCACAGACGTCCAACACTGTGCATTATTCCTTTACAGATAGCAAATATCCAAGGAAATTGAATGGAGGTGAAATTGGATGGAGCCATATTTAAAACTTCCACAGAATAAATTTCTTCTGCTCTGGGAAAAGGGGTCATAAGACATCAGGATATGTCCTCACCAATTTTGAGTGGTGCATCTGGGGCTGGAGTTGCATAGAGAAGATTCTCTGGTTTGAGATCACGATGGACAATCCCATTTTCATGGAGGTACTAAACAGGGAATATAATAAAATAACATTCATTTAATTATATTTATGGTTCCAACATTTATATTTATTATTTTCAGAATTGTAACAATCTTTACTAAGTTATGTGATTCAACAACACACACATATTATAATTTAAAAATAAGCACCATAAAGAAAAATGCTTTAAACTATACATCATTCTAGAATAGCATTTATATACATATATATGTATTTACCTAGAAGTGAAATGCAATTTAAATGATATACAACCAATTGCCAGAAATAAAATATTTACCCCTCAGAGAATATTAGTTGCAGTTCCCTTTATGCATATCAGCTCAGACTGGCTAATTATTATTATAATAAGGTTAAGGTGTTGTGTCTTGAAATTTGTCTGGTTTATTATGTGAAAAGCATAATTGTATGTTTTATCTTACAAATTCACAACCATGACAAAGACTTCAAATTATTGTTTGAACAGACATTTAGATGTGAGTAATTATCATAGAGAACACATCCAATCCATGACCGTGGTAGCGTAAAAGAATGAAAGAAGTTGGAAGAGTGTGAAAGAAGAGGGAGGCATTGGGAAGTCCTAGGGGCAGCTGTGGGGCAAAGGCGACAGGTTCGGCCAGTTGCTGTCAGGCAGGAATGCAGGCCCTGGTTGCTGGCCCTTGTGACTTTTCAAGGCAAGATGGAAATTCATACTTTTTTATGTAAAATATTCCAAATTTTAAATGTTGGCAATGAAGTTTAAACCCTGTATGGGCAGACAAAAACACTCTGCAGTCTCTGATTCTTGCTCTGGAATTTAAAACAGTCCTTGACACTCAGTAGATGCTCAATAGAAAATTAAGTACATGAATACACCTTTTTTCTGACTCTGCTTCTTAAACCCTTTTTGAGGTTGTGCTGCTAGGCTTCCCTTTTGCTGTTAACTCCCCTTAACTGTTTGTCTACCCCTTCCCTATACTTTTCATAGCCCCCAAAATGTACAGGTGTGTAAAAAAGTTGTGTGGTATGGGACTGTAACTACTTTTAATGTTTTATTATTTAAGTTTTAACTATAAAATTATATATTACTTGGGCGATACATTTTTAAAAGTAAGTTTTATGTAACTGGCAGGCATTTCGGGTTTGCTTATCCTGAATACCACCCATCTGCTACATACGATGTGCTCTGAATATGAATAAATACATTTAGTCGGTGACTATGTCTGGTCTCAAATTAACTAAACGAACTATGTAATGACATTGCTAGCAGTTTAAGAATGTTCTAGTTCAAACCTGTTCCTTAAGCTCCAGCACGATTTCTCCACCTGCCTCTGTCTCATCTCCAGCTGGCTGTCTCACATGTACCTTCAGCTCTACGTGTCCCGAACGGAACAACTGACCTTCTCCAAGCCGGGTTCTTCCAGCTTTTCCCACTGCAAAAGGTGGTCTCTCCCTCCACTCAAGGGTTCAAGCCAGAGACGGATTCCCTCCCCCTCCCTCTGGCCTCCAGCAGAGTCACAACAGTGACATAGATTCTAATTCCAAAATCTCTGGAGCCGCCCCGCCTCTCTCCGCGTCATTGATGATCACAGCAGTCCCTTAACTACCCCTTTGATTTTCAGGGTGTCCCCTTCAACCAGCTCTCCACAGGGCAGCACAGGGAACCAGGGCATTTCTCCTCCTTGGGAAACTCTCCACGGGGTTCCCATTACTTTATTCAGCTTTCAAGGCCTTGGCCATCTGGCTCCTGCATCCCCTCCAGTCTCACATTCTTCCACTTTCGCCTCTATTGCTCGGCTCTGCCCACACTGACTTTCTTGCAGTTCCTCAAGGGCCCTAATCTCTTTGCGACCTCAGCACCCCTGTCCCGCTGCCCTCTCCTTGGGAATGCGTTTTTACCCTTCCCACCCGGCCAGCTCTCCTCGCCCTCAGGACACAGCGACAATGTCAGTTTCTCAGGGGGGCTGCACTTGTCCTTCCAGACTAACGTATGTGCCCACTCTTCTATGCTCTCATCAGTTCCTCTTGTTTTCCTTTACAGCATGCCTGCTTCTTTGCAAGCTTTATGTTCAGGATGTCCACCTCTCTAGACTGAAACCCTGTGAAGACTTGGAAATTTTTATCTGCTTTCCCAGATCCTGGTGCTTGGCACTAAATATGCACTCAATAAATACTTTTCAATGATTAATACATCTCTCAATTTTCCTATTGAGGAAATGAAATTCCTTTGGTATAATCTGCATTTTAAATTTATTTACCATTGTTAATTTGTAACAGAAGTTAGAATTTTTGTGCTTACACTGTAGCAGTAATCTCCACAGCCACATCACTTTGATACGTTTAGCTGTATTAGCTGTAATAGGCTCAGCATCCGTGCGCATATGGAACATACCATACTTATTGTTTACAAATACTTAGTTACCTCAAAGATGCTCACTGAGTATCCGTTAGATGAATTAGATTTACAGCACCATTTTGAGAAAAGCCCAAACTCAGTAAGAACATTTTAACTGAAGATAAGGCAAAAGGGTTTCATCTTTCAAATGACATTTTGAATAATTACATAATCAGCTTTTGTTCAGTTGTAGCATTCAGTTGATAGTTACGGTTGGACTAATTTCTTCACATCCTTTGAAGTTGATCTGAATATCTAATACAGAATATGCCTCAGGGAGTTTGGGGAATGACAGCTGAAAATTTATCTCTTGGTTTTCTCTTCAGTTTCCTTCGTGTCTGAAACATTCGTAAATTGTACTGGCCAGTGTAGTAAAATGGAACTGAGCAGTGACTCGGCCAGCTATGCCAACATGTTAGTGCAAGTGGGCAAGCCAGAGGGCTCTGCTAGAAAACGAGGGCTCCCTGCTGGATCCAGTGGTGAGCCTGCTGCTCTCCCTGCAGTAAGGTTCACAGGAGCTTTAGGTTTTGGGTGTGGCCTAAAAGTGTCTGGATAAAGCAAAGCATTGCTGAAAAATGCTTGCTGGCATAGCAGTATCATGGGGAAAGTGAGCAGGATGCTAACAGAGAAGATAACTGAATGCCACTGAGTGGGGAAACCTGGGGTGTCACATTAGGGTAGATGTTGGGGGAGAGGTCGGGAGGAACAGAGAGACTTCAGTTGTTTCTGATTTTGGTACGAGTCTCCTGGTGTACAAAGTCAGAATGGGAAAATATGGAGAGTTCCAACAGGTTGCAAATTCATTTTCTCTATTTATATATGTGCATGTCAGAAAACTCTTAAGTACATGTTTCCAAGAGTGGTCTATATAGCACTGGTGGAAAACGCCATTTACCTGTACTATTTTCCTTAGCTTCAACTCAAAACCTAAAACATTCACTCAACTAAGACTTCAGTGAAACACTTATTGCTTTTAATAAGCAATTAAGTGAATGGTTATTACTTTTAAATTAGGTATTATGCAAAAAATAAATGGAGAAAAGCAATGTGCTTTGATTTAAACATAAATCATTTAAAAATAAGTCTCACGCTGAAAGAATACAAAAATATAGGGTATCCCCAAAAATGTATACACATAGTTTGAATAATTATAAAGGCAGTGTTTATTAAAATACATTTCATTTTCAAAACTGAGCTTATCAGCTGTTAAAGTGTGTATGCATTTTGAGGGGGGGGCACCCTGTATAAAGAAAACTGAAGTAATGTACCTGTAATCAACAAATGAACCAATATATAAAATGTATTTGTATATAAGATCATAGCAAGTGCATGCTGTGAGGCAATTGTCCCAGGGGCTGTTGAGAATGTCTAGAGAGGATAAGCATGTGATAATTTCATCTTCTTATATCCAATGCATGTGTCCAGATTTGACAAAAGGTGAGATTTTAGGACTGGAGGCTATAAAAAGTTTTTACCATTTTAATGGAGTCGGTAACCAGGGGATAAGGCATAGCTTGAAATGAGGTCCAAAAATAATCTGCAGTTACAGAGAAAGAAGCAGCAAACACATTTTTATAAAATGACAAAGAGGAAATCAGGTTGGAGCGCAAGAAAATCAAAGGAGCTCCTGAGTCTGCATGCTCTGGTCAAGCAGAGTCTACAGTAGACAGAGAGGCTGACCTCTCTGTTCTGTCCAGAGAAGTTGATTGCGCAGGATTGAGGATGAATGTAGAAAGCACTCTATCCTCAGGCAAAGAGGTGAGTTTCTTCATGAGGAAGAAGAAGCTGGAAGAAACATTATGAGAGATGACTGCAATTCGGACTACAGTCCATGCTTCACACCATTAATAAGTTAAGAGTGCATATTTGGGATGCATTAGAGAAAGTTCCTAGATACGAGTGAAAATTTTATCAACTATGACAGAGTGAAAATCAGTGCATTTTTCTTGGAAAACATTTATATCCACAGATGTAGAAATGGTTCTTAAATCAAATATGCATCAAAATAGAAAGTGGGATTTAAAAAAATGACCCAAACATACTTTACCATTTGGTCTTTCGAAAGTATGCAATCACCCAAAGCCCAAACTCTCATTTAAGCAGACAAAGATAATACCGATGCTCTGAATTCAGGGGTGTCTAGACATGTAATTAAACTCTCTCTATGGTCTTAACAAAAACTGTGTTATTGTGTAGTGAAAGCCAGTGCATAGTAATTTAGTTTAATTACAGCTATGCTATGTTTGATGGGCTGTGTGAGGCTAATTCATAATGTCTCAAGAGTTAGTAGGGGGAAGTTTGAATCTCTTTAAGAATCTAACAGGACAAAGAATCAGTTATTTAAAAAAAGGGAAACAATGTTCTGACTATACTTCTTCTATTGGGAAGAAAAATTAAACTGCATAAATGAGCTCTTCTCTACTCCTCAGAAAATTTAGAACCAAGATACATCAGTTTAAGTAAGAACTTCATAGTGAACATTCTACTTTTGGGTTGTATCTTCTTTGGAGAGCTGCCATTACCTTTGTCTTTACTCTAGAACTCTATGATGCCTTTAGCATTGTCAACAGAATATATGAGAATAGTAGTAGGTGATTATCTCCTATGACCTGATCAACGGGCAAGGTTAGGTC